CCCGCGGACGGCGGCACGGCGGTGGAAACGACGGGCGAGCTCGACGGCTTCCAGTGAAGCTGCGGTTGGTAGAGTCAGAGGTGGCGCCCTTTGAGGTGGCGCTCTAACTTAGGTGACTTATTTGGTCTGAATTCCTTGGCAGCTTTTCTTCGTTTTGGGGTCACTGTCATGTTAGGTATATCCAATGAGTTTGTACATGCTTGTCCCAAGAAAATGTTGCTTCCAGTGTCATCAAACACCAGCCTTTGGTCTTTTTTGTCCTGTTGGGAGAGGGTATGACCAAAAGACGATGTCAAGTGGTTGCCAAACAAAAAGAGGCAGAGCCACAGGATCGTGAGTCCAATTGTGAACCCCCCAACGATGAAGGGATTAGTCTATGGCTTGCCGGATTGCTAGTTGAATGTGTTTGCCTGTTGGGTGCCGACAAACTCCTCTTCAGTGGCTTTTCAGTTTGCCGGCAAATTTTACAATCATGATTGGATTTGGGGCTTTACTTCGATCACGATACTTTTCGGGTGACCAGGGCATGTGCATGCATGAGTATTGCTTTGCTTGAAGAAAAAGCAGAATACAAAGCCCTCAATGTGGTAGTATATTTGTGCATATTCTGTTGAATCACTCAAATGTTTTATAGGCATCATTCCACCCTGGGGCCGGATGCTTACGCTATCACAAACAGGCTTCAAAGGCTCTCAAACTCTTCATTGTAGTCCAACCCGGAATACCTAGCACAGTACATGTCAGTGGAACTCTGCAAAAGAAAACAACCCCAATTGCTGGCTTGGCACAAAAGCGGCTCCTTGTCCCACCATCCTGCTTCTATCCCCCAGTCTTTTTCCTTCTATCCCCCACGCCTCTTGGAATTGGTTTAACCAGCTCGTGGCCTCTGTCATTGGAATCGTTCGGCATCCGATCACCAACGTGCGCAAGCCTCACGCGCCGCGGTTCACGGGCTTCGAGCGCCGAATCGCGATGATGGAGCGGGGAGAAAAAGCGATGAAGCGCTCCGAACATGGTGGAATTTGATGGTGGAATCATAACCCAACTCATGCTCAAAACCAGTCATTGTCTTCCATGTTAAATATTGTTATATGTTCAATCACACAATATATTGTGGTGGCCTTCCCGACTCCTCATGTTCAAAACAAACACTCACAATCACCAGTCATGGTCTTCCATGACCATGGCGCTTCAGTTCGCATCGTTTGGACATTTCTTCGGTCACGCCGACGAGGACGACCAGGACAGGACGACGAACGCACATGTGAAACGGTCCACGGGAAGGTGCGGGGACCGCCCCAAAATGAGACATAGTCAAATGAGGACCGCCCCATGCAACAGCCTGTGCTGTCATGTGGACCAACCGATTTAAATACTGAGAAATGTGGACGAACCGAGGAAGTGAGGATGGAATTGAGCATGATGCAATAGGGATACATCCCATGCTAGGAGGGCATGTCATAGGAAATAGTCCATCTGTCCATTGCAGCTGACAAACCAAAATCATGAAGTCAACCGGAAGCATAGTCGTTCTTTTTTGCGGTGCATTAGGACAGCAAACAAAACTCATGTTCCATCCAGGGCAGGATGAGATATGAATGAATGCATATGAGATATGTTATCTATGTACAAACACCCCAAGCTACCAAATGCTGCCAACAGCACCACGCCAAAAACGAAGAACCCAACATACCCAACAAGTTGGTTAGGTTGTGCCTACAAAGGAGGGGACCCCAGCACAAGGTGCTTCCTTCAATGAACATCCATTGTTGAGGACATGCTGGGGGTCGAGGCGTTGAGGCTTCCATGAGGTGTTTTGTCTCAAAATCACCCTAGAAAAATACACCACAAGTGAGACAAATAGGAAGCCAACCCTAAACCCTAAATCACCATGTAGTTGATTCCCTAGAAAAATAAGACGAATACTTGCATCCAGCCGAGTTCGTCCAGTAGTGTTGGTCCAGTCTCCACGGCTGGCGTCATTTTTTTTGCAAATGATCGCGGCAAAGAGGCTGGCTTCATATTGGTCAATCCGGGTTTATGCTGGTTTACCACTTCTCAGTAGCTGTGCAAGACCGCAAGTGGGATTGGTATATCTGCTGTGCATGATCCTCACCTAGCAGGTCACTTGGATCATCTGGGATCACTGGGACCACCTCGCAGGTCGCCTTGGGGGTCACAGCCGGCAGATCAAAGCTCGCGCGCGGTGAAGTCGGCGAAGCGATTCGAACCTCGCGAAGGCGCGATGCGAAGCAAAGTCCGCCTTCTTCGGCAAACTCTTGGAGGTGCGCTTCCAGCACTGCTTGATTGCGCTGCGCCGCCCGCTCGAGCATCACCTGGGCGCTGCCCCCCCCCCCGCTCGGCCCCAAAACCGTGATGGGACGTGTGGGGCCGGAGGGCGAGAGGGAGTTTTGGGGGGGACATAGGACAGGTGAGGGAATGTAGTTAGTTCTTGCAGAGGTCCTTGACATTTCATGAATTACAAAGCCATGCAACAAAGTTTTTTCAACACCTGTTCGCACCCACAACCAGGAAATTGGTGGGGCACCGAACAATACCGAACATATCGGACCCAAAAGAACTTCACGCCAAAGAGATTCCATAAATTACCAAAGAGATGCCTGTGAATACCAAAGCCTGTGCCACACACCCATCTCAAAAAAAACTCCGCCAGCTCATACCCAGCCCTGGAAAGGTGTGTCCCAGCTCGCTTCGCCAGCTCCAGGCTTGAGATTCCGCACATTGTCAGCTCCTTTCACCAGCAAGAGGTACTCAGCACCTGCGACCGTCGGCGACGCCCGTGCACGACGCACGCGCGATGCGTTGGCACGTGGGACCGGGCAGTTCGACGGGCCGACCGTCGGTGTGGATGCGACGTTCTTCGTGAACTCGGTGTGGCACCAAACGTGAACTTCACTCCACCAACAAAAACGGTCCAAGAAATTGGGTTCTCGCATTGCTCTTCTCAACCCATGGCCTTTCTTCACCAGCACCGACATGCGCTTTCGCGCTGAGTTGAACTCGTTGGTGGCCAGCAAGCTATAGGTGACATCCTAGGCTCCACTAAAGTGTCTTCTAGTCTCATCTCTGGCGTTTGGCAAACACGGTGGCCACCCTGTAAGCCTTTAAATTTGATTTCAAAAAAAAAAAGATCCATTTCCAAGGACACAAAGTCAACCCCCTTGTGACCAGCTTTAAACTTAGCTCAGGCACCACAATGGGATATGGATGGATATGGTTTCGTCGTTTCCACCTTCCATTGTGCCAAGATGTGCCAAGAGTCCTGAGACTTGTCCTGTGAGTGTGGCCGGATGCTCACGGTGGCATCACTTCCGCTTCCTGACAATGAGCGAGCTCGGTGAAAAGAACCATTGGCCAGGGTTCAACTCAGGGTTTGAATTCATATGGTTCAACTCAGGGTCCACTTCCAAATGGAATAATTCTATTGGGTGATCGGCCCCGCAGCTAATATCCACCATTATCCACCAAGGATTTCAACAAAAAGGCCAAACGATACCGGATTGGTGATGGTGCAAGCACCCAAAGAGCTGCGACTGACTCGGCGCGGAAACCGAATCGTGGATTCCGAGGTTCGTGACTTGAATTCGAAACCGGCCACAGCAGCAGCTTTCACCAAGGCATATTCATCAGGGCTCTCGGCTTCATAGATCCTTAGGCATCTGGCAGAAAACGACCAACAAGTGGTGAAAGGGCCACATGGGGCCTGGCCACGACATGCGTTACATGGGTCGAAATTCATCAAAAAGCTTCATCGAAGATGACTCGATGACTCGATGACGTCTGGCAAATGTGTTTGAGAGCCAAGTTGCAGTTCTCCGTCCTGGTCAAGGAATGCTTCCACTTCACCATATCAAGTTCATGTTCCACCAAACTTGCTGCTGAACTGGTGACCCATGATCTCAGGGACAAATCATGGGTCACCGAAAAGGAATATTTACTGTAACAGAAACAGCGAGGAAACGTTGACTCGACCAGGATCCTTCTTGGTGGCCATGACCGTGTGGGACACCTCATGGCCAGGTGTCAAGAGACAAAATGGGGAAAACACATAGAGTGCCTGGACCACAATCGCCACATGAATGCTTGCTTGAACGTCATACACATCATACCGTGAGAGATAGTGAGCCAAAACTGTCTGAAAGAGTCAATTCACTCTTGGAACTTTCATGAACTTTCACACCAAAGTGGCCTGTCAGCTGTCAGCTGGTCCGCGTGACTTTTTCTGCCCCTACCACCCAAGTTACCAAGGCATCCAGCACAAGCCAGCAACCCGGCCACCTCTTTTTTTTGTGACTCAATCTGGAACAAACACCGGATCTCTTGGTTCTGACCAGTCACCGCCAAGATTTCCAGGAACCGATCGATGCTTCTGTTGCTGCTGCGGTCTGCCTGCGATCTCGGTGTTCAAAGGAGCACGGATCGGCATGTGTATGCATTTGTTCATCAAACATAAGGGGAGATGAGGGCTCAGGTCTTACCCTTTAACTTGCGTGATTCCCAACTTCAATGTGGAGTCTTTTGGAGGCCAGTAGCCAACTTATGCTATTTTAGAATAACTGCGACACACAGATTCTGCACACAACATCCAAAAAAACATATTGAAGAGTTTGCTGAATGAAAGTGGAGTCAATGAAGGACTACAAAAGGACTCATCTTGGCACTAGCATCCCCAAAGAGGTTCAGGACGCGATTGAACTGTGTGGGCAATCGCACTGAAGCGCTCACGTCGAAAAACCACGTGGTAGAAGAAAACAGTGAAACACCCGTCTTCCAACATGCTCTGTAGGGTTGCAACTGCATTGGAATCTGTCTTGATCTTCGGCACGCAGCAGCAAAGAGGGCCGTTGTTTGGCTGCAGGTCTAAAGTTGAAAATCCAACTGAATCCCTACACTGACATCTTCATACCGAATCAATATCAACGAACACTGATTGGCTGTCTCCCAAGAGACTTCATCGAGCAAGATCCCCACCTCCAAGAATTTCCCTCCATTGAATCCAGCCTCAGCTTTGACAAGGCGCTGACTTCGAACATCGCGCTTAGTTTGATAACGACGCCATATTACGAGCTCATAGTACAAATGGACAACATCCACCACCTGTAGGGCCCTCTATTCATGGAGCTTAGCCTATCCATGAAGAATCCCATGAAGAGTATGCTATGGAGAGAATATGCCCATAAGAGTATGCCGCATGCCGTTTATCTCAAATCGGAGTCGCTTCCCAGCTTGCCATAAGTCTATCTTCTCAACAGTTGGATAATTGGAGTCTCTGGTGTTCTGCCTGAGACTTCTAACCAAATCCGTCTGAGTGTTGTCTTTGGACAGTCTTTGCTTGCATGACAGGATTCTCTGTTTCGAGCCTGCCAGTGATGCGTGATGTGCAGTGATGTTGGGTCAAACATCATGACCTTGAGGCCCTTGCGGTTCCTTGATGATGCGCTGAAACAAGTGGCGCTGTGATTTGCGGTGCCGCTGTGCACGCTTTCCAGCTATGCGGTTTATGCAAACGTGCCATAGTGATGTGAGGGCAGCCTGATGTAGGGTGACGGATTGCCATGTCAAAGCTAAGGCTGAGGATGGATGACATCTTCTACGCAGCTTCGACTGAGCAACCGGTGTCTTTCCTGCAACGGCGATGAAACGAATCTACAGTAGGTTCTTTGACTGGCAATCCAAGGGACATTGAGGGTCTGGGCGCTCCAAACATCTTGTACAGCCAAGCCAGCGCTCAGCAGCGTTCCAACAATCTATGGAGGGATTCGAAGCAGTAGGGTCAACAGGTGTTTGGACACTTTGTCCATCATATATCCTTTGTACAGCACCTTTCTGCACCTGTGATACACAATCTCAGCATCCAGGCATCCAGGCATCCATCAATATGATTCACAGTTTCTTCTTCCCTGTGATCAAAAAGAAGCTGCTGCCCCCCCAAAGGCTTGACGTTCAGGATTCACAACAGTTTTTGTTGTGCATGGGCTTTCTTTTGTCCTTCAATGAAACCTTCATGTCCACCTACCTTCATGTGACATGAATAAAATTCAGTAAAACTAAATCTCATGTCACATGTTGGGACCGGTGAGTACACACATCATCAAAAGACCTCCACGTAATATACGCCTGCCGTCGAGCTTCATCAGGCGGTTCGGATGCCTGAACATTGGCTCAGGGCGTAAGACTATGATGATAGAATGCCTACAACATAGGGGATGATAGAAAATAGGGAAGATGGATACTTGAAGAGTAGTGGAAGTGGGAGAAAAGAGACAGATTTCACGTCACTAAAACATATAATTACTAAATAAAACACTTTTTGTTCCACAACAAGATCCACATGTGGTTAGAGTCTATATATACGGTGGGTATTTAGTGTTTGCCCCAACAAAATATCTACAGTCACATGCTTTTTGCGCTCCGTCCTTCTCTCCGCATTCCCTGATCGCTCTTTCTCTTCGTCCTAGAGTTCCCGAATCTCCCCGCCTCCATCTTCTTGTCCTGAGGGCGATGCTGAAACGACGGGACTGGGTATTATCGGCGGGCTCCCGGGGAAGTCCCGTGAGCAGGGTCACTGGCAACCAGGCTGGGTGAAATATGTCATCCACCAGGTACCTGCATTCAATCAGTGTTTGACAAACCGACGTTTATATACCTAAGGATCTACAGATCTAGAGAGCCCGTAGAAGGGTTTGAGAAATGTTCAACAGGTCCTGATGGTTGTTATGTTGGAAGGAAGGAATACATGCGCACAATGAAGTCCAACACCTTCTAGCTTACCTGCTTCATCAAAGCACTGCTCCCCTTCTCATCCCACGCACTGCGCGCCGTAGAGTGCTCCTTGGCGAAACTCGGCCCGGAGGAGAAGGTCCCATATTTCTTGCCGCCGATGGACAAGCGCCTGATGGACTGGGTGGGCCGATCCGGTCCCCGAACGGTTGGCGGTCTTCAGACCCTCATTCACTGCAGTTGATGAAGAATGTGAAGAAACCATAGCTGCTGGGGGCCAACCCTGGCTTGCAAATCTTTGCGTACAAACTGAGTGGTGGCGGACCAACAGCCCACTAGGCCCAACAGCACTGAACTCCAGACCATCGACCAATTCGATTCCAAGAACGCTCTCTTCGATCTTATTGACATCTATGTGCGGCGGCATTTTTGTGGTACTAAACTGAAATACACTACACAATCTATTATGTGGGGACCCTATCTCGTTCACAAGCGAATACCGATGTTTGCCTTGTAGACAAGCAAATAGAGCATGCCGCAAACTACATTTAGTAAAGCCTAAATAGAAGTGGTTGCTCATACAATCCCGTGGATCCCACTGCCAACTTTGAATCCGTGTGCCTCAGAATCATATCATTCTGCGTCAAAGTGCCTGAGTCACAAGAGACCGGCACATTGTTTTGTTTGTTATCGTTTCTCGTGCACAGTTGATTACAACATTGTTAAGTTGTTATCGTGCTTCGGGGGCACCCTGATCCTTGTTCAACTACAAGCAGTACAACATGAACAGTACCCCTGTGAAACCCATCCTAGCAGTCTTAGTACCATGAAACTCAAGGTCCTCATGCACGAATGCAGCCTTGTCGAGAGCCTTCGTCCGACACAGCGGACCATGGCCTCCAACCCGCCCACTGGCCTGTCTTGTCTGAGAAAACATAGCCAACCTCCCACAAAGAAGACACAATAAAGCAATGTAGAAATGGATTTATAGACTTGACTTGACAAGGCTTAATCGTGATGAAGGACCAATCGTCCGATTCAATTCATTATTTCTATCGCACTCTTTGTGTGAAACCCATCCTGTAAAACTACATGTGAAGCTCCTTTGCAACCTGCAAACCGCTGAGGCTACGCCTGACCCAGCTCCTGCGAGAGGTTCGTACTTCTCGTGCGAGCTTCAAACAGCTCGTTGCTGTCGGGGAATTTGTAATGCCTGAGCGCTGGCACAGTCTACCTCCCATTGCAACATCGGAGACTTCGATCAATAGATTTGCACTTTCATCCGATGAATACTTCTCTACTACGTACTGCTTTTCTATGACATCGTACTGCAGCATAAATACAATCGAAAGACTACGTACTTTCCATCACGTCCTGTGACTGGTTAGGTTCCGAATTTTGGTCCATGCCAATTCAGATTATATGGCTGTGACATGCTGTGACCATCAACCGGGATAGACGCGGGTGGACCGGGTTTCCTTCAGGGCTCCGGGTGCCATGACGAACCGCCCGAAGCCGACCATCCGAGCAGCATCTTCTCGTCGAGCCGGATCGCTCGGCACCTGGAACGGCGCCGAAGACGGGGTGCGCCGGGTACTTGAGGGCTTTCGTTTTCTGAGCTCCGATCGCCACAAAGGAAGACGTGTCATGTTTCATGATATTTCAGGGTAGCCCTCCAAACTAAATCACAGCACAAAAGCCAGGACAAGGAGAGGCAACATCAGCTGCCTACCCAAGTTGGTGTGTGACTTGCACTAACCAACCATTTGCCTTTCTGCTAGCATGACCCTTAAGGGCACTTGACGGCCACAACACTCAGCGATGATGGCTGCTCTGGGTGTCTTTTTAAATCCGAGTCCATAAACATGAGGCTCATGGTTACGTGAAAAAGCTCTACTCGAAGCGTTGCACCATACTTCGCTTGCACCGCTTGCGCTTCTGCGAAGTCTCCCGGTTCCCGCTCCCACGAACGTGGTCTCGAAGTTCGGGGCGAGATGCTGGAAGGCATTACAGAACTCCACAGTAGGGTACAAGGAGATCGGCATCAAATTCGAAAACAACCTCAAAGAAAGCTCAATGAGATGCGCTTTTTGGGCTGAAAACACTACACTAATGTTGACCGTGAATGAATCATACTAAATGTGTTCAACACTAAATGGCCCCCCAAATATTACTATATGTTTTTCTGGACCATGATTTTCAGCTGCTTCCAGACCCTGATTCTGCGCTTTCATCTGACTCCAAAACCTGATTCTTTTGGTGATTTCCTTTACAATTCATTTAGATTTCCTTTTGGTTGAAAAGCTTTAACTGTATTAAAGGCAATCCTTTCTGGATTTCTGATTTGGCTGCTGCATTTTCCTTTTGAAATTGCTTATTTGGGCATTGCCATTTGTAGCCTGAAATCAACCCGCAAAGAACACTCCCCACAAGCAGCCCAAACCTGCAATTACTCCGGACCTCAAATAATACTAAGCAATCCCTGGCTGGTTCTTTTGGTGGTTTCCTTTACAATTCCTTTAGATTTCCTTTTCGTTGAAAGGCTTTAGCTGCATTGAGGGCTATGGTTATTTAGGTTCAGCCCCTTTACAATTCCTTCAGCACTACTTACATTGATTGCTTTCATTTCCTTTCCTTTCCTTTAATGTCCTTTCATTTCCTCTTCTTTCCTTTCATTCCCAATTCAAATCAATATGTTTCTGGGATTTTTCTGGATTTCACCTTATTTAGGGCCCGCACTTGATCAAGGGGGGGTTTATTCTTCAGAGGTGGACAGTACTACACGCTTCAGTGACTCTGTGATCTGAAGAGAAGACCTGATGTCGTGGGCCATCGAACTGTACTCGCTGGGCCAACTCGTACAGCGGGAATCCGAGATCCGAGAGATCAGATCCAGTCTGCTTTATGCTGATGTGATTCTTTAACTGAAACTGCCTTGCAACCAGCGCCATTCATATCTATATAAATATCTATATATTATAGATTATATATATATAATAGTTAAAACATGTTTAAAACAACTCAGGCTCTTGACCCATAATTGCAAAGGTCAATATCGACACAAGGTTCATTGATGCAAAGAACACCGCAGAAATCGAGCTGTCCCTTTTCCACCCACATGGATTTTCACCGTCATAGTCTTGTGAGGCAAGTGACGTGAAGAAGGTCAACCACCAAGCAAGCCATTCAGGCCTCAGGACTATGTAACGTGTGTGTTGATTGCACCAGGTCCGGACAACTCATCATTCAATCTGCAATCAAGTGGCAGGATGATGCGCTCCTCCTCCAAATACCAATGATGCTTTGGCTTGAATTGAATGTGGAGAAATCCACAGGTCAAAGAAATCAATGTCTGAGCAAACCTAAGTCAGGCGCCGTGCAAAATCCTGTCAGGCTTCTTACCCAAGCGAAACCGCAGTGCGTTCACCCTGTCAGGGCTCCCCGAAATCGCTTTGGAATGGACTATTCGCTCTCTGAACCCAACAGTTCGCCCGGCTCTCCCATTTCCAGCATCCAATTTCTTCCGAAGCACAGGACGATGAACATGGCCTTGTTGGTGGTGATCTCCAAGTTGGATTGTTTCATTGGCGCAGGCCGGGAGTTCTTCACCATCCTACTAGCCGGCAAGCAAGCTTCCAAGCTGCAAAACCATGAACAGCAAATTATAAAAAAGAACACATTCCATTTCCCCTTGTTTCAACAAGAAAGCAGTGTTCCTAACTGTTTAGCTTGTTTGGTGGTGTCTTTGGAAAAGGATCCTCAAGCAGTTCATTTGTCAATATGTGGTAAACCTACCAGCATCGCTCACTCCGCCTGGTGTCATTTCCTGTGTAAACAATCACACCTCAGAGACACGAGCAGCGGCCATGAACGAAGGACTCACCACAGCTCACCACGATGTGCAGCTCAGCGGCATGTGCATTTGTCGGTATTCCTGCTGGCAAACTGCTTCATTGATGCTGGCAAACTGCACACTCTTTTTGGGGTCTTGTCCATGTGGGTGCACGAACGCCTCCAATATCCTCCAATCAATCAGGAAGAACTCCCCAGTAATCTGTTGTGGGTTTCAGTAGTCGCATTTTTCTTTACCTCCCAGAAAAGCAAGTTCAAACATAAAACATCACAAAACATGAAACATGCCAGATCTGCCAGCCAATTTCGGCTCCTTGAAACCTCCCCATCGAGCGGATCGAGTTTCTCGACCCGTTTTCTCAGGTCCTCAACACGGTCCCACGCATGAGCAGTTGCTTCTGGCCCAAAGAGGCCTTTTGGTTCTCCACGGTGATGTTACCATTGAAGTCCTCACGATGTGATGTATGGATGTGGGAACCAAACCAAAGCAATGGATAGACATGGATCCTGGATCGGCTTGAAGATTGGAGATTAATACATGAAAGATTATGAAAGCGTTCACACACCTAACCTGCCCACATCTTCTTTCTCTGCTAAACGAGAGCTTTGCCACCTTGGTCAATTCCCCAACGGCAATCGCCACCAGCACTGGCGGGCGGTCGTATACGCCCACATCCATCCAACAGTCAGCTGTCGTCCCCTGTTCTTCTTCCCAGCGGTCGCTGTGGCAGGATTTCTAGGGATCACCCTGGTGAAGGAGAACACCTAGGAGCGATCGTACGCTACTATATAGGGGCTCCTGGCCGTACTACGAACGGAGCAAGGAGGTTCTAAACTCCATTGCTAGTAACCTTCTACAAATGGGTGCCGCGTGGTAACCCCCGTCACTGGAAGTCATCTTGAAGGTTTACCAATTCATGTCTCTGCTGCAACTCCACCTGATTCCACTGACCTGCTGAGGTCCACCTAGTCGCTTCTAGTTACTAGACCGCTTCATTGTTACTAGTAGTGAGGGCCTCCAACCTAATGGCGATGGCCTCCACCTGGTAGCTTCTAGTTATGAAAGCTGAACATTGCCGGGTGAAGACCAGGTGGAGAATTCTGTCTTGTCTGAACTACTGGAGTACCCCAAGACAACACCTCTTGGACAGAATACCTCTCAAACACTTTCAAGTCCCCTTCATTCCCCGGAATGCTTCACCCAAATCCCCAATCCAAGCAGCCTTATGCAGGTTGCAAAAACAAAAACAGGTCTGTTCTGCACCTTCCGTCGGCAGTCCCATTCGATTCTATCAAGCGTCATGGATATTGCCATTGGGTGCCTCGGCCACGATCTCGATCCGCTTCAGCATGCTCAAGCTGCCTGCAGGGGAGCCTCCCAGTTTGCAAGCAAGAAGCTACTAGGTTGGAGGCCATCGCTATTAGGTTGGAGGCCGTTACTACTAGTAGCTTGATACTAGTAACAAGATAGCTAACATGTTGTTCTCTCTTTTTGGATCTTTTTGGCCAGAATTTCAAGCCATAGGAACATCCGAAAGAACCAGTTGTGATGCACAGAAGCTTCACTCTCATTATAAGAACCATGTCCATCCAGAGTTGTTTGGGTGAAGCCGCGTCTAGTGGGCTGCAAGCAAAAGGACCGATACATCCTCATCTCCCTTATGTGTGCCTTTGTGTCCTTCAGCGTCATCCACAAACAAACCAAACAAGGTAAAACGCATCGGATTGTCATGGATCGTCACTCCGAGGTGGATCGACTTCGGATCGCCTGAAGAATTCATGAGGGCTTTCTGTGTGATCGACGGGGCTGTCTTCAGCTTCAGATTGGTCTCCCCATCTAAGTTGGCGGTGGAGACGTAACCTGAGCTGAAGGTAACATGGCTCCATGTCATTCGTCCAAAGGGTGTGGCTTGATCTGTGGCGTAACATTCCTTGCATTTCAAGTGACAGTCCAAACCTTCCACCTGCGAGCCTTTGTCCATTTTGTCCCAGTGTCCAAGAAACCACCATCCACCGTATCTAGCGATGCTTCACTCAAATCCCCTTGGGGACTTATTGCCATCTGCTTGAATCTTTCGAAGGCAAACGGCAAGCGGAATTACCACATTTGGGCAATTCAGGTATTTGGTTTGGATTCTTGTCTTCTTTTACAGTAAATCTTCATGCACATCTTCGCGCGATCCGTGTTTGGAACTTCGCACTCTCCCGGTGGAACTTGCTCCCTGAAACACTTGGTGCAAATAGGGAGCAGTTGCCACCTTCCCCGGAGCAATGCAAGGGGATGGTGTCAGCCGGAAAGTCTTGGTCCTAGCAGACAGACGAAGCGGACAGAGCCGGAAACAGCCTGCAAGGGCCGAGAGCGCCCACAGGAGTGGAAGTGGCACGCGGCACGCAGCGCCGCCGGTGCATGTTGGTCACTCCTTCTTCACTATGAGGATGTCACCCACCTGCAGGTCCTTGAATTTCTTTTCAACCTGCTGCATGCGCCAAACAGCCAAACACAAGCTCAAACAGAACAAGAACACGAAACGGTTCGTCCGTTGTGTGTGTGTTTGTTTCAATCTTTTAAAAGAACCGCCTCATGACTCGTGTGGTCGTATGTATTGTTTTCTCAGCTCCATCGTGGCCTTCCTACCTACGGCCCCCCGGTCATCCGGCCGCCGCTTCGCACCTCGCGGCCCTCCACGAGGACTGTGGCGATCGACATGTTGATCTCCTTGTCCGCGCGGCCTCTCTGAATGTCGTCATACAAAGCCACGGCGGCCGTGACGGCCATCATCATCACCTTGAACAAAGACAGGCCGCAGAGACGATCGATGGAAAAAAAAACACTCCCCTCTCACACGCTACTAGGAACAAGTGCATCGCTACTAGTAACAGGTGCCTTACTAGTAGTAACAAGAAGCTAGTAGAAACATTATATAAACAAAACCACTCCCCTCTCACTGCTTTTTGGGCTTTGGAGACGCTTTTGGCTTTATAAGCGGGTGCGATTTGAGCAGGTGACAGGTCTCCAGAACTTGAGCACCGGCGAAGGAAATCGGCAATCAAAATATCTCTTGGAAGAATATCATGAACATATCAATTGGTCAAGGACATATTCTCTCTGGACATATCATGCAAAAAAATATCATGGACATATCATGGTGCAGAATTCTCCCCAGTTGCTCGGAGCTCGGAGAAAAATCTTGGAACGAAACCACTGCAGGTGACCGACGCTCACGCACGATCGAGACACTAGCAAACCGAGCGTGGAGAAGGCTCGGATGGTGCCCACATAGAGATCAGTGGTCTCACCCAAGTACATGACCACCGAGATAAACAAGAAATACACATTTCCTGGACGCGGTGGTCGGATTGGTTGTGAGTGATTGTCAAGGCTCTTTCACACATGCATCTTGCATATTCAAATCCGAGTGTCAAGATTTTTCATTAAACAAACGAACCGGCAAAAAATATCAAAAAATAATGAACACCAACAACTTCCGCCCTTTGGCATTCCTATATTGTATTCCTGCAACCTATCAAAGCCAGCATCAGTCAAACGTACTGGGCAACTTCAGTTGACATTGTTTGCATGACTACGGTCCGTAAAATCAGTTCTCAACGATCTGTCATATAGCAAAACAACTGTCCAAGGAGCCAAATTTATGAAGCTGCTCCCACAAGTTCTTTGGCAGAAAACTGTACCAGGTGTACTTCGCTGTAACCACCTCAAAGCACACAACGGTTCACGACCCTCCAGCATTCCAGGCTTCTGGCTTGACCAATAGTCGCACGAAGTCAAAAAACAAAAATGACCAGCAGTAGTTGGGTGGTGCTCCAAGCCGAACATCGTCGAGAGTTTTCACACTGAACCAAAAAACCGTTGAGCACTCTATTGGGGGCGCACCTCTCCTTCAGACTTCTTGTTATCTTGTCTGATTGTTCATACCAACACACCTGGGTATTCAGGTTTGAAAAATGAACCTCGACAAGGTAACTCCTTGACTGCAATGTCTTCGGTCATCAGTCAAAAAGGTTCGTGAGAAAATCACTGGAGCAAAGGGATCAAACAAATGCAAATCACCCCATCGATATATATATATATATGACATGGTGAAACGCTCAGGATGCAAACGCTTCAACGAACACATCACATGGAAGTGATCTCCCCACCCTGTCCATGGAGGAGAATCGTCTTTCCCAGGGGTCCTGGTCATTCCTGGTCTATCCATTGGAGGCCATTGCTCTTAGGGTGGAGGCCATCGCTAGTAGCTTGGAGGCCCTACTATTGGAGTTGAATGAGATATGGAACATCCCCGAGCCTTGCCCCGTTCAGTGCCATTCCTAATGTGTCCCGTTCCGTTGGTTGGTTCTGGAAGGACGAGTTCTATCCAACACGAAGTCTGTTTATCCAACAAAAGCTGCAACGTTCGCCGTGAAGTGAATGTGGTCTGGGCACATCTGGGCATGGATACAAACCCCAGTCTTAGAGGTCCGTGTCAGCGCGAACTTAAAGTCCAATTGTGCAGCCTTGGAAAAAGAACAGAAAACAACCGTAACCAAATAACCAAACCAACAAACCAGGGCAAATGACGCAACAAGCGGTAGTTTGTCCTGTCTTCTCTGTTCCCATTGTGCCTTTGTGTTCTCTCAAAAAACACCAGCCAGCCCTGCTCTTCCTTCCGGGAGCAAACATTTGGGCGCCTCATTCCCAATGAAATACTCATCCAACTGAGCTCGTCCAGAATTTAATTGAATCCGTCGTTCTTGTCCTTCTTCCATGGCTCGGTTTACCGAACTGGTCGAAAGGCGACGATTAGACTCAGCAGTTCGCGACAGTCGTACTGAGGAGTGAAGGATCCTTGATGGAACATGCCTTTGAGAGCCTTTGATCTATCTATTTTATATGTTGAAACATATGTTTTTTAGAGATCTGGACCACTAAACCTGGCCCAAAATTTTTGTTGCTGAAGTGAAAGGCAACGTCGTCCTCTCTGATATCCTCTAATTAGGCTTAGAGGCTTAGCTGCTTCGAGTTGGGCTAGATATGTCGAGCCAATCGTTCCTCGATCTAGTAACATTTTTGGGCTCTGCGCCATGACCGTCGGGCCAAAACCGATGCTGGTGCAAGACATTTTCCGCAGCAAGGCTGGAACGCCCTTTCCAAATCATTCGCTCTCTAAGAAGAGTTGCAGTGTAGTGGTCCCTAGAGAAGGAACAGGCCGCTGTACGTGTATTGAAATAGAAATGCAATTCAATCCGAGCTGAACATAGAACCAGTTGCCTTAAAACCCTCCCAAAGGCCAAACACCGCCCATAGAGAGAGTCGTCATTTCATCTCTGGGCCATCCATGTTCATTTTGCAGCGTTTGTTTCAGCTGCAACACCCACCGAAACCGCCAAACATGCACCCGAGTCTGCTTGAAGCCAAGGTCTCTGCGAGTCTGTGACAGAATCCAATCATCAGTTTTCACCACAAAAAACTCACTCTGCGAACATCTACATATTCAACACAACAGCAACACACCAGCAGCAAGCTTTCGATGCACCCTTTCGATGTCACGATGCTTTGAGACTTTTCCGATCTTTTCCGGCTCCCTTGATCTCAACCACGGTCGGACCGGTTGTCTCTGCCTGCTGACAAGCATGGCAATCTCCTTTAGCATTTGAAACCTGGATTTGTGGAATCATTGTTTTCCTATAAAGTTTCCCAGAATCCAAAATCTCCCGCAGCGTTTCGTATTGGTTTCCGTCGATCATGTTCACGTTTGAAGGAACCATGCAAACTCGACCTCCCCGACTGGGTTTGAGCACTGTCAAGCCACGGCAAGATCATATTGTTCACACGTAGACGCCTTCAGCACCGCTTGCACCTCTGACTCACATGAGTTTGCCCGCACCCCAACGACATGTGGTTCAGCTGCAGAAAGAAACAACATACTGGTTTGAACATTTGCTCTCCAAATCTCAGTTGACATGCAGGGTGGGGGCGCTTGATCGTGAACACGTCGCAAAAAGGGCCTGGTTCAACCCATGGTGTGTGATGCACAACATGCTGGGGGGCAGATACAGAAGAATACATGTTGGTAAACATATTGTATAAAAGAGATGCTTTAGAATCGTTAGAGCATTGAAGATCGGATGAGATCAGAGTATATTTTGTAACATCCCTCGGCACACTAACAGCATGCACAAAGATGGGCACCATGAAGCGCACGAGATAATTTGACCCCAAAAAGAAATTTCTAGATTTAGACTCACCCCTCCCTAAACTAGAAAAGTCTACTCTAAATCTGCAGCAGCCTTTTCTCTGAGCTCTCTCTAGCCTGTGGTCCACTCCTACGGTGCACTGTGGTCCTTGGCAAAAACACGCTTATCAGGCTCGCGTTCAAGTTAAGTTCAAAGTACTGAACAAGGCTGGCCTCTATGTGACTGGAGATCAAATGGAACGTTTGGAACCTGGTAAAGGGTTCGGTAACTGAAGTCACAGTTGGCTGGAACAGGGACTGGCTTCAGCTTGGGGCTGCCCTTCCTAGAGCAAAGGTCTGGTTGGGCTATGGCTGTGGCTGGCTTCAGCTGGGGCTATAGGTTGGCTTGGAGAGGTCCGCCTGCTAAAGAAAATGTCCGGACTGGCCTTCGGCCTTACTAAAGTAAATACATGTCCAGCTCGGGCTGGGGCTGGCTAGGTCCCTTAGTAAAGTAATGTCCGGCTGGGGCCGGGGCTGGCTTGGCTGGCCCTTACTAAATTTGGGCTGGGCCTTGACCGCAGCTGGAAGTTGTGCTATTCTGGTCCTCCCGCCACCACAGTTGTGCTATTCTGGTGCTCCTAAGTGCTGTGGTGCTCCTCCTGCCACCGAAGTTGTGCTTCTCTGGTGCTCCTCGCGCCACCGAAGCTGTGCTATTCTGGTGCTCCTCCCGCCACCGAAGTTCTGCTATTCTGGTGCTCCTCCGGCCACCGAAGTTGTGCTGTTCTGGTGCTCCTCCTGCCACCGAAGTTGTGCTATTCATGGCGCTCCTCCCGCCACCGAAGCTGTGCTATTCTGGTGCTCCTCCGCCACCAAAGTTGTGCTATTCTGGTGCTCCTCCCGCCACCGAAGTTGTGCTCCTCCTGCCACCGAAG